ACTGTATAACACATCATGATGTCATCAGTTATACTGTATAACACATCATGATGTCATCAGTCACTTTAAATAATAAAACAATTCATATTGACCCACATGTGCTGTCAGAGCTACATTATCACCACTAATCACTGTTTCTGGGGTTTTCCAGCTGGTTCTCAGTCAGCATCTAGTTGTAAGAGTCCCTTTTTACCTCTCCTGTGGTTCTGATGAGGTCATCTTCAACCTGCTTCATCACATGATGCTAGGATCAGCTGGAGCTGCAGATGGAGTCAGCATGATCCATCAGAACATTACCTGCTGAATTTAACTCATTTAATTAAAGCATCTCTTAATATCAAATGTCTGTGTTTGTTTGGAAAGTTTCAGTCAACTATAAAGTTAAATTTATCAAGTGAGCAAAAAGACTCTACAGAGCTGTAATGATCCAACACGTCTAACTCTGAGCCCTGCTTTGTCTCATTATTGCAATTAATTGTTTTAATACCTGACATTTTTCCTTCATCTATACTAAAAGCTATTTACGGAAGCATAGAGCTGCATGACATAAACTTGTTTCTAAACTGGATCTCATAACGAGAAAACTATCTTGTAAAAAGGAGAAAATATGTCGTTATAACGACTAAAATATATTGTWATAATGAGAAAACTATSTAGTAAAAATGAGAAATTTATCTTGTAAAAACAAGAAAACTATCATTATATCAAGAAAACCATSTCGTAATAACATGTTATGGTTTCTTCTGGTTTGTCACTTTCACAGAAGTTTATTGCCTGGATGAGTGATGGAGAACACGACTGAGTCTCACTATATGCCTTTTTATGAAGAAGAAATCTGCAAGAGGAACACATTTCTAGACTAAAAAATTACAAGTTAGTACTGATTAATGTTTTAGAAATATTAGCGTCTGAATTCAGATTAGAGAGTGAATATTATTAAGTGCTACTAGCTGCAACATCTGAGCACAAACCCAAATAGTTCTGTTCGTTTTGTTTATATAGTGAGACTCAGTCGTGTTCTCCATCACTCCATCCAGGCAATAAACTTCCTTGAAAGTGACAAACCAGAAGAAATCATAATGTGTTACAACGAGATGGTTATCTTGATATAACRAGATAGTTTAGTTTTCTCGTTATAACGAGATCCAGTTTTAAAATAATTTCATGTGACAGCTCTACGCTTCCATAGCTATTTAAAGTCCTGACAGAAATCTGTCTCAGCTACTTTCACACCAAATTTGACCTCAACATCTCCAAACTCACTGAGTTATTTTAGTGTTTGGTAAAGCTGCTTATCTCATCTTTACTRAACTTTAACCTTCAAAAGCAGAAGTGAAAGAAGTTCAAGAGAACACTAAGGGATGGGAATAAAAAGAAAAGTGAAGTTTCAAACTCCTGCTCCTGCTCTCTGTCTCTGTTTACAGTTTGTTTTCATTTGATTCGTGTAAAACCTTGTTTCTGCTCATCTTTTACTGTTAGGAGTTCATCAGAGGAGGAGAATCAGAACAGGAAGTGTGATTCTGTTTCTGTCCGTCACAGTGACACTTCAGTTAACTGTCTCCTCCAATCAGCGGGGAATTAAACAATCCCAACACAGCTTTTCATCCAGTTTGCACTGTTTGATATGAACTCAGAAACAGAAACCATTYTGAGCCAGTAGGAAAGTTTGTCCACCATCAACCATGCTGTCCTCCCGTCGGCCCAGGGGGTCCWCTCTGGTGGGGTTTTCCAGTTGTGAGGTTGTGTCTCAGGAGAGGAGACGTGAACTGTGGAGTCTGCAGTTTAAATGTGAAAAACTGCTTTAAATCATGACAGAGACTTTTCCTCCACAGTGGATAAAACAGTCTGCATCTTTGTATCTGAACTTTTAAATGCTCTGTACATGAAGCAACAAGATGACAAACAGCAGCTGCTCATCCATCACTTCAACCCAGAGAGGAGTTGTTAAATGTTTGCTCAAATGTCTGTAAAAATMATTAATACAAGGAATTTGTCCACAAGCTGCAGAAGATACACCTGAGTTTTTATTATTTGTTGCATTTGTTGTGAATGAGAGAGAAAGTTTGATTTGATTACTCACATTCAGTGAGTGTTTCTGCTAAAGAGGCTGAAAACCTGAAGTTCTTATTGTTATAGCCTTTTTAATTATTAACTGTATTCATTTCTTTAAATTTAACTAGATCAATTATATATACAATTAAAAAAGACAAATCACAAATAAAATGAAAGGCATTTCATTTCCCAAAAATCATTCAAACAATACTAAGGATTTGTGAACGGAGGAAGAGAGGAGCAGGAAGCTGACAGTGGTTAGAGATGATTGAAGCTGTTCGGTTCTRCAGGTTAACCTTTGGAAATAAGATGCATTTCATTCAGCAGTGACTTCATTAGTGTTCTTCTTCAGAACATTTGTTTTTCTAAACTTCCTGACGTGACTGGCAGAGACTCACAGTGCTGCTTTTTGAGTTTTGAACGTGTTTTAAAAAGCTTACAGCATGATTGTGGGYGTGTCCAGCATGTTTCCAGCTCTCCACAGCTGTATTTTTCCCCATCAGAACAAAGCTAACACCCAKGAGTAAAAACAGCTGATTACAGAAGAAATCAGAAACATGGGGGCGGATGATGACATGAAGTGACGTGCACGGGCAGAACTACAGTGGTACACGTTGTGCACACTGACTTCAGCTAAAACAGATTTTATTTTGAGTCACTGACAGCTGCAGCTCATTTCTCACTGTTCTACCTTTGTATCAGACATGAGTAAAAGATTTGCACACATGTTGAGGCTTACATCTCTCACTAACCTGCCTTTTTTTTCTTGGACGTGTCTTCAGTTGTACAGCTCAGTGGACTTTGGGAGAAAATGGCAGCTCATTCATGAACACGTCACCCCGAACAGATTCTACTGGTGAGTCATCTCTCGTCACGTCTCATCTTGTTTCCCTGCTTTGTGCTGCTCAGCTAACAGATGACACGGAGAACAAAAAGTGACACTGCTGAAACCAAGCACACCCGCCTCACACTCTTCATACCCTCAGAGTAATCTTCAGGTTTGCGTGCAGCTGCTGGTGTTGTGAATAAAAACGCGTTGTGTTTCTGTGTGAGGTGGAAGAAGAGAGGGGAGTGGTCTCCATGCAGGACCTCTGACTAATAACGGACCCGGGAAGTTCCTGTCGTTCCTCATCCACTCACGCCTCGTGCTCCCCTCCCATGCAATTACACTTTAAAGTGCACRCTCATCACAAACGTAGGACTGGATCTCTTCCATCTCGTCGCTCTGSTCCCCCCTCCCTCCCCCTCTGGGAGGTGACGGGGGGTGGATATAAATCCACGGCATTGTGCTGTAATCCTAAACATGTGTAAAATCCCCGGCTGGCTGTGCTGCTTGGAGGATGTGGAAGTCCTGGATGCTCCTGTAGAGACGAGCAGGCARGCCTCCAGCTGGTCGCCTGCACCACAGCTCCATCAGCCTCGGCTCTGCCACCAGTTGTCCCACACTAATCCTCCCCGCAGACTCACAGCGAACAAGAAAACTAGTTTACAATCGAAGATAAACTCGTCTGGTTTGTTGGCCTTAAACCTCTCATTTCTGCTTTTCTTTGTCTCGTTTTAAYGATGCGTTGACTCAGATCTGAGGCAGCAGCAGTCTGCTCGCTGCCTTCTAAACCAGGGGTTCTTAACCTTTTTGACCTCAGGGCCCAATTTGTTGAACATAAAGTGACACAAGGCCCAGTCACAAATTACCAATGTATGGATCAAAATATAATTATTCTAAATATTGGTTTAATTTTTATTGTATTTACATCATAACTAAACTATCATAACTAACATAACTAAATTAAATACA